CTTACATATAGTTTTGGATAAATATGAAAGATTTTCTTTCCAAAAATTTCTATATTTTGCAATGTGTGATGCTAAAAATTGATCAAATTGACTAACCAGCTCTAGCAGTTCTAAATAACTTGCATTTTGCAAAGATCCGAATTTTTCGTTTGCTTCTCTAAAAGCCAAACCACGCTCAGCTATTGTACAAATAACCGCTTCTACTCGTCTCAAAACATTTTCACAGTAAATGTACTTTTCATTAATTTGTTCTAGCTTTTGCCATAACCCTGAGCTCTGTCGGCGAGTTAAGTAAGTTAACTTTTTTTTGCATTAATACATGTGGGCGGTGGATTAAAAAATCTTTATAAATTGCTCACCTGACATTATATAGCATTTATCTTGAAAAACAATAATTTTTTAAGATGGTACCTCATATCACTATTGATGACATTTAAAATAACATTTGCTAAATAAATCAAAAAGAATTGTGAGACTGAGACCAAGTTAAACAATTTGTGATTCAATATTATATTTGCATTTAATATTGATTATGACGATATTTAACTTTTCGATTTTTCTAGCGGTTGATCGTAAATCATTTTCAAGTTTCTTTAGTTCAAAACCAAAATTTTTGTTTATTTTATGCACGATAGAGTTTTTTTCGGTATTCCTATTCCATCTTCGGTGTTCAAATTGATATGTTAAGTATGTGCCCAGATGCTCAAACATATATATATATATATATATATATATATATATATATATATATATATACTACTCTACTTTGTTGATTCCTTGTTTGTTTAAAGTAAACACTTAACGCTCATTTAATTAGTTTAACAATCTTTAACTTCGTTAAATATAACACTTAATTTCGTTAAATATAACACTTTTACGTGTTTTCATTATCGATTGGACTGCAACATAAATAAAGCATATATATATATATATCAATTTTATTCAGCAAAAAGCATGGAGACACAGAAGCTTAAACGAGCTTGTTCGGCCAGCCAAACCAAATAAAAACATATACCTACATGAAAATTGAAAATAACAAAATAAATAAAAATAAAATCGTATAGCTAGCCAATGAAAACAAGTTAAATTAAACCATAAATGAACAGAAATTAGTTAGAACAAAAATGATCGAATCAAAATTTATCTAGTTAAACAAAACAATTGAATTCACATTAGAAGTTTTTTCTTATAAAATAACTTAAATAATTGAAATAATTAAATCATATCCTGTAAAAAAAGTTGTTCTTAGTTAAGTTGAAAATCGATTTTATAAATGGGCCTTAGTTAGATACTAAATGTCGTAGTTTTGACCACTGATTTAAAACAAAAACTGAAGATGAAGATAAAACAGTACGAAGGACAATACAATTGTATAATGGAGTGTGCCGAGTTGTTCTTTTGCACTATTCAGAAGATATAAATAAATATGATTTAAACATAACAAATTTCTTCTTAACTATAACATTAAACAAAAATAATAATAATCTAAGAATGTACAGTTTAGGAATAGACAACAAATTAGACAACGATAAATTATCTGAAATATGACCATATTTTTTCAGGTCATAATAAATACGAATAAAGAATTATAAACATCTATCTAAGATAATATATATATATATATACATATATATATAATATATATAATATATATATATATATATATATGTGTGTGTGTGTGTGTGTGTGTGTGTGTGTCAAATCAATCAATCTAATCAAATTTTGTATTTGTATGGCGCCAATTATATTTGCTTCTCATCAGCGCTCTCCTCGTATAAAGCTTGTTGAAGGCAAAGCCGTCATCGGTGGAAATCAAATATGTATGTCTTTAGACGTTTTCTAAACTCAGTCAATGATAACCCAGATAAACGTAACTTGATTGATAGCCTATTTCAAAACCAGGCCCAACAACTACAAAATCTCTATTTGCGGTTTTAAGATTCCGATCTTTAACATACAGCGTGTTTAAATCAGCAGACCTTAGACGCCCATGGGATGACATAGATAAAACTATAAACTATAATACATTTTTTTCTAAATATTTCGGAACCAGGCCATTCAAACTTTTAAATACCATTACACCCAACTTTAACATGATTCTATGTTTAACACGCAGCCAATACAACTCCTTCAGAATTTGTGATGCGCGATCAAATTTTAATTTGCGGTTTATTATTCTAGCAGCCTGGTTTTGAACCATATAAAGTTTAGACAACAGCGTGTCGGCTATACAATATAGAAAACTGTTTCAATAATCCATTCTAGAGTTGACGAAAGCATGTATCTATGTATCTCTATCTACTGATTTTGTAACTTGACGTAACTAATGTAGTTGGAACATACATTTTTTAACCAATAGACTGACTCGTGGACCCATTATCATACGAGAGTCCATTACAATTTCCAAATTGGTGACCGTTTTACTGAAACTTATATCAGTCATACTGATGTTAATCGATGAAGGTTCAACCGCTGACGTTTGTTGCCATGTACCAGCCAACATGAACTGAGTCTTAGTCTGATTCAGCTTTAGCTTTTTTTGACCCAGCCACGAGCCGACATCAGATATAGTTTTTGTCAGTTTCTCCAATACGGTAGGCATCTGGAAAACATGAAACACAAATCTGCATGTCATCTGCGTAACCATGGCAATAATAACCACGTTTATTTAGTAAATCTAATCTCTCTGCAATATACAATTTAAAGAAAATCGGTCCAAGAACAGATCCTTGAGGCACCCCTGACGTAAGTTTCATTGGTTCCAAGAAACCACCTGAGTAAGAAAACTGCTTAGTCCGACAAGTAAGAAATGATTCGAACCACTTCAAGGCAATCTTATTTAAACCATAACGATATTTCAGTCTGTCCAATAAGATTTTATGATTCACAGAATCGAACGCCGAACTTATGCCCAGGAATGTCGAAAAAGTTACTTTTTGTACATTAACTGCTGACTAAATATAGAAAATATATCCGATAGGGCTGTATCTGTCGAATGAAACTTTCTATATCCAGATTGATGCAAAGACCAAATACCATTTTTATTTATATGATTATTCAAAACTAGCTCAACAGAACGTTCTGTAATCTTTCAAGGTCTGGTTTCGCTACACAGCAACAACTTCAGCAACTGCAATCTCTCATCAAAAAACTAATTCGCCTCAACCACCTACCTGCATCATATCCCGCCGTCACTCAAATATTCAACGTACTCGATTAAAGACTGTTCAAGAAAGTAGAAAATAACAACAATCACGTCATCCATCCTCTACTACCACCAACCAAAATTACTACACACAACCTTCGTCAACGCAAGCATAACTTTCAAGTCGTAACTCAATCAACATATCAGGATCACTTAACTTAATGAGTCATTAAAATCATTAACTAGTCTATTAACAAATTTTTTTATTTATTTGTCTTTTTAAACCAATGCTTTATTTAAAATTCCATACTTTCATATTTAACATTTTTCTCAGTTAATTATTTTTCATTATCATTTTATTCTATTGTCTTGCAAGATCTAACAGTTTCTGCGTTTGTAGATTCTGATTTTTTTAAAGAATAATAAAAAAAACCAAAAAATAGCAGATACTCGGGAGGGCCATCATTAATCAAATGTTAAATATTAGAAATTTAGATTGCAACAGAAATACAAATAAATTCATCGTTCACAAAGTTAAATGTCAATGAGAAATGTATTGAAATTAAAGAAGATTAAAAGATTTCTATATAATCAAACATAAAGTCGCAAGTGAACGAGGCATCTACGTACTCACACAAAACTACATGATCACAAATTGAGTGACGTATTAATAACTACATATACGTATGCATAGTTAAAACATACATAATTGTAAATTGAAAAAAATGTTTCACGCATACAAATATAATTTATTCGATAAAGTAATGAGGAAAAGAAAATTAGTTGCCAAAAGTTAATAAAGTATTATTGTTATTATTTATTATTTTCATATATTTATACAACACAAAAGATATACGAAGCATATATACATCCACGAACGAAAATTAAATCAACATACCATACATACAAACATGCATACTCACATAATCAATAAATTTAGCAAAAATCCAAGACTTATATTATATCTGCGAATGACATTTAATCTACGATCAAATGAAGTATTTTTGCGAGTGTACATATATACGAAATATGTGCAAACATTAATCTAATAAATTTTTAAAAATATGTAAAAATATAGCATAACAATAATGTGAACTATTTGCAGTTGAGCTTAGAAAAAGTTTTCGCTGCGATTGAATCTTGAAATAATTTTTAATTAAGGTTAAAAGTAGAGAAACACTGAATAATGAATAGTAGACCCAGTAAAGAAACACTTAATAGTGAAGTAAATCCAGTATTTAAATACTAAAAACCCACAATTTTGAAAGAAAATTATTTTTTTTAGAATGAAAAACAAGCTATTGAAAAAAAGCAATTCATGTTTATCCAATAATTTTTCATCGAGATAACAATCTATCTCTTGTTCAAATTAATATATTTTAACGGCTATAACAGCAATGATTGCCAAAATAAATTCTACACTAATAATAATTAACCATAACATTGTTTAAGGAATAAAAAAAGTGATGGTTTAAACGAAAATTACAATAGTTGGCTAATCGCTGAATAGCCGACTATCAATTTTCGGCTGGATATTTGGTTCGTCTCTGTTAAAAAAGTATAAATTGCCAAAAGTTGTTAAGTAAGCATTTGAAAATTTTTATAAAATTTTTTATCGTTCACTTATACAAATAATTCAAAATTTAAACTCAGGATAGAAAAAACTATGCAATAATTCGTAAAATAATATTAATTAAATAAAGTTACTATAAATAACAAAATTTTAAAATAAATCTTTAATTAACATAATTAAATAACAAGAATGTATACGATATGTAATTAAAATACAAATAAAATTTGTTTATGAACTTACTCGAGTACTTGTTAAACTGCAAAATAACAATTTTAAATAAATTTAAGGATAACCAATCCACGTTGGGTTATAGTAAAATTTTCCAAGCGCCGTGTTCTTCGTGGGATACTTGCTGTAATAGAAGGTAGTTGTGTTGGCCAACCAGCCAGACCACCACGAAAATGTTCCAGTTGACGTGATAACTGCATCACTTTTCGATATCAAGCACATGTCGAAGAGAGCATCATGTTTTTCCGAAATTACAAATTTTGTGTTATTTAAAGCTTGAGTTGATGTTAAATTCCTAATAGTTTCATTTACCCATTTTGTATCTTCGCTGCACAAAAAATAGATGATGAACGATTTAGAATTTTTGTTGAATAATTTGTAGATGTAATTGGTTGTGTAGTTTATGTACTCCACATCAACCACAGTGTATCCAGACGTTATAAAATCACCTCTCCTTATGTGCATTCCAACAGTTTTTATTGGATATTCAGATGTGATGTTGCTCTTAAGTTCCTCAATAAACTTGTCAACGACTTCAAGGGTTTTTTGCTTGAAGGAGAAGTTACGCTTTAATTTGCTCTCGTATCCCACAGTGTATAAGTAACTTTCAAAATATCCACTAATCAGTATTATCTGGGTGTTTTTTATCTTAGGGTCAAAATGAGGATAGCTAAAAATTGGATCAAAAACAACCGGTGAAAACCGTTCTCTTAAAACCTGAGATCGATTTTTGTCGTAGAGAAAATTATTTGGCAATCTTGGTAACGTTGAATCGTTGAAATATTTATCGATCCATCCATATGGAATATCGGTTGGTAGAACTGCCGTTCTGTTGGAATGTTCAGCAACGTAAAAGAGAGCAGCTAAAACGAACATCAAGTTACCCAATCTTCTGCCGTTGAAAACATCACTGGCTATGGAAACTAATTTTGTCTCGTTAAGTGGTAAAATTTTTGTTGCAACTTTTTGTTTATTGAAAATTGATATCACCAAATTTTTACTCTTTAAAATTTTTTCTTCAATAGAATACATTGAAAAGTTGTCCCAAACAGTGTAAAACGCCAAAAAACAAAATAATAAAAAAAATGAAATTTTCAGCAAGCTTTGATTATTTTTGGACGACATCATTCATAATTTATCTCACTGAAAAAATGGAAATTTTTGTTATAACATTAATAGTAGCAACATCAAAAGTGAGTTATATTAAAATGTATGGACCTACTGCTGAAGCATCATTTGATATTGTTAATTTGGAGATAAATCTATAAGAGATGCAATCATAAATAATAACAAATCTAACAGAGAAAGAGAGAGAGGAGAGAGAGAGGAGAGAGAGAGAGCAATAACCGTAATTTTATGATTATTTAAATATATATGATGTTAGATCCATGCGTCTGTGTACTTGATATGCCTTCATATATTATTGTTAAAGTTATTATTATATAAATAACATATACATGTGTGTGCTATATATCTGAATAAACACAAGCATATATATTATTCTAAATTATTATTACAAGTCAATTTTGTTAAATTTCTTGTTACGTAGATCGTTTAATTAATTGATATAATTAAAAGACATCAAAAGAAGAGAAAAAAACTAAGCAACGTTCTCGCTTCGTTTATTATGCACTGGATCAACAGAAAAAGAAAAAGTGAAGTTACATACAAAGCAAAGAACATTTGGTCTAAAGAAAAATAAATGTATATTATAAATCATAATGTTTTAATATAAAACATAAAACTTAACATCTTCTCATTTTATTTAAAACATTAGATGGCCTTAACCTAAATGTTCTGAAGACCCATCGCACACATCAGAAGATTCTTTAGTCTTGGTTTTACCATTGGTTTTGTCAGAGCATCAGCAACTTGAAGTTCTGTTGCAACTCGTTCAACTGAAACTTCTTCTTCTTCAACTTTTTCTCTGACAAAGAAATGTCTAATGTGGATATGCTTTGTTCTTCTGTGAAGTTCTGGATTGTGTGCTAAACAAATTGCTGCTTCATTGTCGACAAAAATTTTTGGTTTTTTCTTTAGATCTACAATGTCGCTCAACAATCATTTGAGCCATATCACTTCACGAGCTGCTTCACTTGCGGCAACGATTTCTGCTTCAGTAGTTGAAATCGCAACTGAGGGTTGACGTTGGCTAAACCAACTGATCACGTTTCCTCCAAACATACAGATCACACCTGATGTCGATCTTCCACTAGATTTATCTCCTCCATGATCTGCATCACTGTAGGCTATAAGTGTATTGTTTTGACCAGACTTGTAAACAATACCGACATCAGCTGTGCCTTGCAAATATCTGAAAATTTGCTTGACTTGTGCTACATTGAACTTGCTGGGTTTCTCCAAACTTCTTGATGCTACTCCAACTGCATATGCAATATCTGGTCTTGTTCCCGTCACCAAGTACATCAATGCACCAACTGCTGATCTGTAAGGAAATTTCACTTCCTCATGTTCATTTTTGTTTTCATTGAACTCCTCAGATTTTGTAATCGGAGTTGTACAGGATTTACACTGACTCATCCTAAACTTTTCAAAAATCATTCTTGTATAGGATGACTGACTGACATTAATATTTCCCTTCTCATCTTGATTAATCTCTAATCCAAGTAAATATGTTGCAGGTTTAAATGTTATCTTGAACTCTGACTTTAATTCTTTTTCAAATATTTTTAGTTCTTCTTTATTGGTTCCTGCAACTAGTCCATCATCAACATACAGTGCAAGTATGAGTTTCTTTCCTCTCTGTATTCTAATGAACAAACAAGTATCTGCATCGCTTTGTTTGAAATGTCTCTTTTTCAAGAATTCAGCAAAGCGTTTGTTCCAACATCTTGGAGCTTGTTTAAGTCTATAGAGACTTCGCTTGAGTTTACAGACTTTTCCTGAATTATCTTTAAAACCTGCAGGTTGCTCCATGTAAATATCTTCATCTAGTTTGCTGTATAGAAATGCTGTTGACACATCAAACTGCATGAGTGACATCTTTTCATTTGCACCAACACTTCTTAGAGTTGAACTTCGGACTACAGGACTATAGGTTTCTTCATAGTCAATTCCCTTTTTCTGAGAAAAACCTTTTACCACTAGCCTGGCTTTAAAACGTTCAACAGAACTATCTGGATTGTGTTTTACCTTGTAGACCCATTTGCATGGTATTGCCTTATGACCTTTTGGAAGACTTACCAAATCCAACGTTTGATTTTCCTTTAATGACTGCATTTCACTGTTCATGGCTTTAATCCATTCATTTTTTTCATCACTTTGAATGGCATCTTTGTAGCTCTCTGGTTCAAGTACTTCACATAATGCAGACATAACGAAAGGATCATAACGAGATGGCTTTTTGATATTATTCCTGTCACGTAAAACCATACCTTTGGTCTTTTGATTACAACAGTCAGATTGATCTTCTTCATCAAATGAAACTGAACTACGGTTGTGAACATCTTCATCAGTTGAAATATTGTTTTTAATCAAAGTTTCTTTATTGTCATCTTTGATTTCAACATCAATCGAAACTGTATCATCTGAACAACTTTCTTCTTGCAAAATCACTGAAATATGTTTTGACACATCAAAAATAACATCTCTTGATCGAAGCATTTTATTTCCTGGTTGAACAAAAATTTTGTAGCCATCGTCACCTTCATATCCAACGAGGATATCCTTTACAGCTTTAGTATCCATTTTACGTAGTTTCTGCATAGGAATATGAACATAGGCTTTGCTACCAATGATTCGTAGATGTGTTATCTTAGGTTTCTTGTTAAACCACACTTCATACGGTGATTTCCCTTTTACAGAAGATGGTCCAGTTCGGTTGAGTATGTAAGCAGCAGTATTAATTAATTCAGCCCAAAGGGCCTGAGGCAGTTCTTCATTAGCCAGTCTCATGGCTCTTGCTGCTTCAAGTAGCGTTCGATTATCACGCTCACTGCATCCATTCTGCTGAGGTGTATAAGGCATAGTTAAGCGTTGTCTAACTCCTTCTTTTTGCAAAATTGATCTGACTTCTTTGTTGTCAAATTCACCTCTATTGTCACTTAATACTTCTGAGACTTTATGACCAGCTGATCTTGACTCTGCAAGCATTTGTCTGAGTCTTTCTGGTACATCTGATTTTTGTTTAACAAAGTAAACAAATCTGTAGCCTGTGAAATCATCTTTGAACAAAACAAAGTATCTGTAATTTTGAAATGAGAAGCAAAAAGGACCACATACATCTGTGTGAATTAATTCTCCTGGTCTTGATGCTCTTACTCGAGTTCCAAATTTCAATCGATGTAACTTTCCATAGACACATACTTCACATAATTCACTGTCTACATGTATAACGATGTTTAGTTCACGTTTCATAACCAATTTAATCAGTGTACGCTGACTCATCAATTGCAAAAACACTTGATTCCATAACAACTAGTGACTTATTGTCATCGCGTAGATTGTTATTTCTTGGTTTTGCTGGTCTACCATCAGAATGCCATTTTTCACAATTTCTTACAATGTGACCTGGCAATTTGCAATAATGACATATCAGTCGCTTTGGTTTGCTGACAAATTTATCTTGTTTTTGACCATTCATGTTTAGTGATGATGACCTTCTAGTTGTTGCTTTGACAAATAATACTTTATTACATTCTGTTTTGCCTTCCAAAGATTTCTCATAGCTACACAGTTGATCTGTGAGTGTTTCGACTGTTCTTTCAGTCTTGTTCAACAATCTCCAACTTGCAGCAAATGAAAAATAATTTTTTGGCAGAGTTTCAATTATTTGGCACATCAGCAACAAGTCACTGTTTTCATCTTTTCCTAACTCAACCTTTAAATCTTTCCAAAGATTCTTGAGTTTTGTGACATGAGTGACAACATCATCGCTTTCATCCATTTTATAACTAAAGAACTTCATGCACAAGTTGTATGCTTTATCTTCATTAACTTCATCATACAATCTGTGAAGTTCTAACCAAACATCTCTGGCATTACTGAATGAACGAACTTTTCATCGGTCATGTTGGTTGACAGAACAATCATAGCACTACAATCTGCTCTGTTGAATCTGTTCAAAGCAGTTTGATATTTTGCAATCTCATCTTTATTTGAGTCATCGTTTGATTCATCTGGAACTTTTAATTTGCCATTTACTACATCCATTGCATCAGGAATGCCGCGTAGTATTATACAAACCCTCGATTTCCAGTTCAACCAATTACTTTTGCCTTCTATGTGTTTGATTTGCACTTTTGTTAAATCAATTTCTTCCTTGTTTTTTCAATTTGACCTTTTAATTAGAAGCAAAATATCGATTTTCAGAGAATGAAGAAGCACGTGCTTCCTCTTCACTTCAGTCTTCACAAAAGAATCTTCCGATATTTCTTTATTCTAAATTTTCTTCGTCAAATCAATTAATTAAGAAAAACGTTATCTGGGTCCCATAACCTGTTAAATTTCTTGTCACGTAGATCGTTTAATTAATTGGTATAATATTGAAAGACATTAAAAGAAGAGAAATAAACCAAGCAACATTCTCGACTTGTTTATTATTCACCGGATCAACCGAAAAGGAAAAAGTGAAGTTACATACAAAGCAAAGAACATTTGGTCCAAATGTATAATATAAATCATAATGTTTTAATATAAAACATAAAACTTAACACATACAATCTCTTATAAGTTCAGTTGTTTGATGACAAACTTGAAATATTTCATAAAATTTCGCATAGTTACAATTGGTTGTCTGTAAGTTGCGGACAAGTTCAGTTGGAATCTCTTGAATCCGCCAATGCAGAAGCACGATGGGCAGACTCGTTTATCTCATGTCATATTTGTACCCAAATAAACGGTGAACACATTCAGCAGGATTACAAATGTTACAAATATTAGTAACGTAAATGAAACATCGGGTAGATTCAGTGGCGAATTTAGGCATAGGCGCACTAGGCACGCGCCTAGGGCCCCCAGATTTTAGGGGCCCCCAAAACTTGAAAAATGAGTTTTTTGGAGGCTTCAAAATATTTCGCACAAAAAAATTTAATAAGTTTGAAAAAAATTAATTTTACAATTTCAGATAATATATTTCATAATTATTTCTAAATATTTTTGAACAA